GGGGCTCGAACTCACAGACCGCGAGATCGTGACCTGGCTGAAGTCGGACGCTTAACCGACTGCGCCACCCAGGCGCCCCTGTCTGGGAAATTTTTTTATCTCTCCTTCTATTTTGAATGACAGCCTTGCTGGATAAAGAATTCTTGGCTGCATAGTTTTCCAATTCAGCGCATTGAATATATCCTGCCACTTCTTTCTGGTATGCCAAGTTTCTGGGGATAGGTCTGCTGCAAACCTGAAACGTCTTCCCTTTGTAGGTTAAGGACTTTTTTCCCTTGGTGCTTTCATGATTCTTTCCTTGCCTGAGTATTTTGTGAATTTGACTATGATATGCCTTGTTGATGGTCAGTTTTTGTTGAATCTTATGTGAGTCTTCTGTGCTTTCTGGATTTTAATGTCTGTGTCTTTCCCCAGGTTAGGAAAGTTTTCTGCTATGATTTGCTCATGTAACCCTTCTACCCATCTTTCTCTCTCTTCATCGGCTGGGATCCCTATGATTCTGATGTTGTTCCTTTTTAATGATCACTGATTTCTCCAATTCTTAAATCTTGCTCTTTCCCTTAGTTTCCCTCTTTTTTTTTTTTTTTTTTTTTTTTTTTTTTTTTTTTTTTTTTTTCTGCTTCGTTATTCTCCATAAGTTTGTCCTGGCCAGAGGCCATTCTTAACAGTTGAGAAAGACTTGGTCTTGGATGCCTATCCAAGTGAGACCACTGGATGGGCTCTATGGATACCTGGATTCCCTTGCTAGACTTCCTGGCTTAATGGGAATGGAGACTACACCCAGCAGTTGGGCAGGACTGTGAATATGCTTTCCTTCCCGGGCAGGGCCGCATAACCAGCTCCACAGCTGGTATAGTTTGTTGGCTGGGGACCCAAATCAGGCAGAGCTACCAACTGAGCTCTCTGTCAAGATGGGGCCTCCAGCTCAGCTCTGCAGATGGGCAGAAAAACTGGCTGGGTTCTCTTCTCGATGCCACTGCAAACAGGAATATGGTCTGTCAAGATCTAAGCACTGGTTAATGCAAGCTTTGTCCCTTCTTCATCCCTATCTGAATCCCAGTGGCGGAGCCCTGCAGTTTTCCGCAGTAATCCCCATGAGGTGATACCTGGCTGGACTTTCTGGGAAGCAGCTCCCAATGTTGAGGGAACTGATGTCTACCTTGAGTTCTCTTTTTCTCACTGGAGAAACCGTAGGCTCAGGATGGAGTTTCTCAGTGTGGTGTCGTGCTGGCATGGAGGTGGGGCAATATGGTCAGAGTGTAGCCACTCCTCTTGCTCTTCTAATGTGATCCTGTGGTTCCAGTGTTGCTTCAGCCTCACTTCTGGGTTCTGGGATTTTCACAATGGTGTCTTTCTATGGACAGTTGCCAGTTGATCTTCTTTTGTGGGGGACTGAAGTTGGGAACAGCTTATGTTACCATTTTGATGACGTCACTCTCCCATATTATTTTTTGTATATAAAATAATTTTTAATTAGCAGAAGCTTAAAAAAATGGGAAATAGTTTAGTAGTGGCCAAAGGTAGAAAAGGGAATGACAGAAGCAGGAAAGAGGTATTACTTATAACAGTACATGAGGGATACGAGTGGAGATAGAACTGTTTGTTACTTTGATTGAGGTGGTGGGAACACTAAGTTGCACATGTGATAAAAACCATATAGTAGTAAACACACACACACACACACACACACACACACACACACACAAGTACAGGTAATACTGAGGAAATCTGAATAAGATCAGTGGGTTTGTATCAGTACCAATATCCCAGTTGTGATATTATACTATAGTTTTGCAAAATATTACTATTGGGGGAAGCTAGGGGAACTGCACACAGTTTCTCATATTTCTTACAACTACATGTGATTCTACAATAATCTAATAAATCTTTCTTCCCTTTCTTTCTTTCTTTCTTTCTTTCTTTCTTTCTTTCTCTCTGGTAGGCTTCACCCCAGTGTGGACCCCAACACAGGGCTCAAACTCACGACCCTGAGATCAAGACCTGAACTGAGATCAAGAGTTGGACATTCAAACCACTGAACCACCCAGACACCCCTCAACAAACATTTCAATCAAATATTAACTAGTGACGCTTGGGTGGCTTAGTCATTATTAAGCATTCGACTTTGGCTCAGGTTATGATCATGTGGTTCCTGGGTTCGAGCCCCACATCTGGCTCTATGCTGACAGCTCAGAGCCTAGAGCCTGCTTCAGATTTTGTGTCTTGATCCCTCTCTGCCTCTCTCCTGCTCATGCTCTGTCTCTCTTTTTCTCTCAAAAATAAATAAACATTAAAATAAATAAATAAATAAAAATAAAAAATACCTAAGGGATTAGAAGTTTATATGCAAACCCTAAGTACAAGAAGCTTGGAATGGCTATATAAGTATGACAAAACACATGCTTAAAGTCAAGGAACACTATCAGAGATAAAGAAGCCTCATTCATAATGATGAAATCGCCAATGAATCAGGACTCTAAACACTAGCACCGAAAAGATCTTCAAATATATTACGTAAATTAAAAAAAAAGCTTGAGAAAATAAACCCTTACGTGAACTTACCACTGCCTTCCTTCTGTATCTACATTGCAAGGAAATCTAAGATTCCTAAGGTGATTGAAACTGTAGTATCAGTTACCAAAATGTAGTAATTGCACCACATTTCACTTTGTTTTGATTAACAACAAAGGATCTTATTTATTACCTTAATCTAAATTCAGCGCTAAACAAGAAAAGTATTTGATTTTTCTTTCCACAGAAAAATCACACAACCATTCTTTTTTTTGTCGCTCAGGTTTCATTTTCTGGAAATGATTGAAGACTGCCCAGCAGGCTTATTTTAGTTTACTTGGGGGGTTAAATATATGACAAAGTCCAATGCTAATTTCAGAAGCTGCTGTGAAAGGTCACTAAGGGGAAGCACATTCAGAGATTAAAATTTTAAACAGATTTTTTTGTCAACAGAAGTGTCCCTGGTATATAATTTTCTCTATGGCTCTGCTAAAAAATCAACACCTCCTGGTTCCAAAAGATCTGGGTGTCCTGTTTCCACTGCTCTGCTGCAGGAGTGATGTGAGTGAGGTCCATTGATAAGAAGCTGGTGTGAGGTCACACTGACGTAGTGTGAGTTAATAAAAGGAAGCCTTTTTGTCCCTTTGAATTTATCTCCATAAAGTCATTGTGTCTCCTCTGGAGGATCACCTGTTCATACTCAATGGCCTTTCAGGATCAGGTTGGATCAGGTTGGTGGCCTGGGGAAATCCCATATCCTTCAGATAATTTTAGTTCTTCCCTTCATGCAGATGCTATTATGCCATATGATTTTGGAGAACTTCGCTGCAGCCGTTCCTGGTCATCGCTGCTGGGTGAACATCCTTGACAATGACATAGTCGCTGATAATGATACTGGGATCCTCAGCCCTGAGGCCCTCCTCAGAATCTCCATCGCATTGAACTCAGAATCGAGGCCAGAGAAATGTCAGCGCTTGATCCATCCCCAGTGGCAGCTTCTTCATCTGAATGGAACCTTCACCAACATGACTGAGCCAGACACAGAGGCCTGTCTGGATGGCTGGGTTTATGACCAAAGCTCCTTCCTCTCTACCATTGTGTCTGAGGTAAGAGGCCCCTTTTACCTCTTGTGAGTACTAAGTCTGGGTATTTAGAATGACAGAATAAGCATGATTCAAGTGTTCAGTTATTGTGTAGGTATTGCAGTCAGCTCTCTTTCATTCTTTTAGCAAATAGTGATTGCTTATCTTCTTTTTTAAAACATTTTTTTAATGTTTATTTATCTTTGAGAGAGACAGAGACAGAATGTGAGTGGGTTAGGGGCAGAGAGAGAGAGAGAGAGAGGGAGACACAGAATCCAAAGCAGGCTCCAGGCTCTGAGCTGTCAGCACAGAGCCCGACACGGGGCTTGAACCCACGAACTATGAGATCATGACCTGAGCCAAAGTCGGATGTTTAACTGAGCCACCCAGGTGCCCTGTGATTATTATCTTCTTAATTGCCAAGCACTTACATTGAATTTGAGGCCAGTGAAATCAACCAACTAGACGTGAATTCCATATCAGAGGTCTTTAAATATAAGGTGAATAGTAATGATTAGACAAGTAAATACTTGATATAATGTATTATTTTTTGGTCACTTATTCTCAGCCTAGTCGCAAATTGCAAACACCTGTATTAATTAAAAAAAAAAAGTCTCCATGCCCTGGATACTTCACAAACAAGCAAATCAGTGTATTTCACTCTAGGTGAGAAATGCAGGCATCAGTATTCTAGAAAATCTCCTCAATGTTTTCAGTGTGTGACCAAGATTGAGAACCCATGAGGTATGGAATGCTAAGTGAATATAAAGATTGTCCCTAATATAACCTAGAAGATTTAGTTGAGGATTTCCAGAGAAAGTCATGCTTAAATTGAGACTTGGATGATATGGGTAAGTAAATGTAGGAGAGGGAGGCTGGAGAGCATGTCCACTGATGGTTGTGGCAGCAAGTGAACACTGAGGGACTGTGAGCTGCTGTGAAACTCCCCTGTGCTGGTTTCCTTCTCTTCCAGTGGGACCTCGTATGTAATTATCAGTCACAGAGATCAGTTGTTCAATTCCTATTCATGGCTGGAATGTTGGTGGGAGGCTTCATATACGGCCATCTCTCGGACAGGTGAGTGTCTCCAGCTCACTGCTGCCCTTATTCTATGGTGTTTTCATCAGCTTATAATGAACTCTTTCATAAAGAAGTCTTTACTGAGTTCCAATATACAGTTTATACCGTTGTGGGTTGCCTTGGTTCCCACGGAGCTAGAGATGGAGGTGGAGAATTAGAGTGTGTGATAAGTGCCATTTTGCTGCACAGATATCTCTGTACAGGACACAGAAATGATATCTCCATGAGACAGACCTGGGGGCATTTCAGAGCAGTATTTATAGGGAGGTACCATAATACTTTCCATTTAGAAAGATGAGAAGGAGTAAACTATGGGCAGGGAGGGAAAGGTACTCCAAGACGGGGGTTCAGCCTGTTTGAAGACAGAGATAAGGCACAGTAAGGAGATAGAGATCTTCAGCATAGACTTCAGCAAGGCTGACAGACATGTGCAGAACTCTCTACCTGACAACAGCAGATTAAACATACTTTCCAAGTGTATGTGGAGCTAGACTGCATTTAAGGCTCAAAACCAGGAATCAGTAGAGTTCAAAGGGTCAAAATTATACAAAGTATTGCCTCTGATTCCAACAGAGTGAAACTACAAATCAGCAGCAGAAGCAAAACTGGAAAATTTACAAATTCATGGAAATCAACCAGCATGCTTACAAAAAACCAGTGGGTCAAGGAAGAAAGCACCAAGGAAATTAGAAAATACTCAGCGATGAGTTAGATAAAAAATTCAACGTGCCAAAACTTATGGGATGTAGTGAAGGCAATGCTCCGTGGGAAATTGATAGCTATAAATACCTACATTGAAAGAGAAAAAAGAGAAAACACCACGTCCACAAGAGGGAAGAAGAGGGGGTCCTCAGCCTTATCTCCACATAGAAACAAGGATTTAATGGTCATCCACAGACAAAATGCCTTTGTGGGAACCATGGAATTCAGGTCAGAGGTTTCAAAAGCTCAGTAGAGGCCAAGACTGAGAAGAACAGCCTTGAGAAGGCAGGCCTACACTCTAGCAGCAGGCCTACTGATCATGGTCTTGGCTAGGGACCTGAAAGGAGCCTGCCCCCTATAGACCCAGTTCCAGACCCACTTTTCTGTGATCCTGCCACAGGCCTCATCCACCAAGGGACCCAGGAAGTGCCCTGTTCATTGGTGACCTTGATAACAGACCCACTGATCTCAGACCTTACCACAGACCTTGAAGCAGCCCTGTGGCTCTGCTCTCCAGGGTCCAGGGCAGTCTTGCCAGACCAAGGGCCTGGCAGGAACCACACCAACCCATATCACCAGTAAAAAGCCCACTAACCTGGCCTGACTGTGGACCCCACAGCAGCCGCACGACCCAGCTTCAGCTTCACCCAACCACGATCTCGGAGGCAGTCCTATCAGTCTGGGGGACTCAGGAGAAGGTCTTTATCTGACAAAACCAGTCTATGAAGTCAGGACGTGTCTGCTCCTTTATTTATTTATTTTTTTAAATTTTTTTTTTCAACGTTTATTTATTTTTGGGACAGAGAGAGACAGAGCATGAACGGGGGAGGGGCAGAGAGAGAGGGAGACACAGAATCGGAAACAGGCTCCAGGCTCTGAGCCATCAGCCCAGAGCCCGACGCGGGCTCGACCTCACGGACCGCGAGATCGTGACCTGGCTGAAGTCGGACGCTTAACTGACTGCGCCACCCAGGCGCCCTGTGTCTGCTCCTTTAAATGTAAGGCTATGTGATCATGAAGAATCAGGCAAATGAGACACCACCAAAAGACACTAATAAAGCCCCAGTAACTGCCCCTAAAGAAATGGAGAGTCATCAACTTATTTTTTTAATTATTATTGAGAGAGAGAGAGAGAGGAAGAAAGAATGTTAAGCAGCCTTCACGTTCGGCATGGAGCCCAATGCGGGGCTCCATCCCACAACCCTGGGATCATGAGCTGAGGCCGAAATCGAGTTGGATGCTCAACCGACTGACCCAGGAGTTCCCCTTTTTTTAAATTATTATTTTTTAAAATTTTCTTAAAAATATTTTTTGATGTTATTTATTTCTGAGAGAGAGAGAGAGAGAGAGACAGAGAGACAGAACATGAGTGGGGGGAGGGTCAGAGAGAGAGAGGGAGACAGAGAATCCGAAGCAGGCTCCAGGCTCCAAGCTGTCAGCACAGAGCCCGACACGGGGCTCAAACCCACAGACCATGAGATCATGACCTGAGCCAAAGTCAGACACTTAACTGACTGAGCCACCCAGGTGCCCCATTTTTAAAAATTTTCCCATCAACTTCTTGAAAATTCAAAATACAGTAAAACCTTGGATTCTGAGTAACTTGTTCTGTGAGTGTTCCACAAGGCAAGCAAACCTTTCTAACAAATTTGAACTTGGTAAACGAGTGATGTCTTGCAGTATGAGTAGTATGTGATACCAAATGTCACATGATCACAACTGAACCAATGGTTCTTCTCTCTTTCTCACTGTGGGATTGTGGATGATTATCTCCCATGCTCAGATGCTTGATCTCAGGCCACAGTGTTTGGCAAAAATCAGTGCTTTTTCAGAATGTTGGAAGGTGCCCACAACTGGCCCTAGGGTATTTTTTTGTCACTTCAAAGCACCTATAGACAGTCCTTTGCTTTTCTATATGAGAGTAAGCTGAGTAATGCTTTGCTTCATTCTTTGTCAGGCTTCCTGCAGATGTAGACCCTTTCCTCTGCTGCCTTATTGCCAGTTACATTAAATACGGTATATGACAAAAGTTTATTAATACTGTATTGTAGTCAACATCCATGTAAGTGTATTCAATGGCCCCTATGCGGAAAAAGGTTGAAAAGAAAGATGGTAAGAAACAGATGACTATGGTGGAAATTAAGAAGGAAATGACTGAGAAGTATGAATGAGGTATGCGATGGCTGAAATTGCAAGATTTTATAAGAAGTCTACCTCTGCATCTCATCTGCAGAGGAAGAGAAGAAAGAGGCGGAGGAATCCCTCTCTTCATATGACATTACAGAGATGAGTAAAATGTGGGAAACAGTGAAAAATTTTGTAGAAAAGCACCACCCAAATAAGACTGTAGCAGTGAGAGTGATGTTCAGTGACAATGCAATGTCACATTTATGTGAAATCCTCAAAAGGAGGCAAAAGCCAGTGTCATTGGGTAGGTTCCTTGTTAAAGCTGCATAAAAAGAAAAAGATTCCACTGAGCCAACAGATACCAGTGATTCCGTTAGTGATAGTGACAGTTGTCCTACACTATAACCCTCCTCTCTCTTATCTCCCTCACACCAGCCATGAAGGTTTTCAAAGGTAAGTGGAGGTTAATTTGTTTATTTTTTTTTTACATTTTGTGTTTTCTTTGTTATTTGATATTATATTGTAATCATTTTTATATGAATATTTTGGGGTTGTGGAACAAATCATCTGAGTTTCCATTATTTCTCATGGGGAAATTCGCTTTGATATATAAGTGTTTTGAGTTACAAGTATGTTTCCAGAACGAATTATGCTCACAAACCAAGGTTTTACTGTAATTATCTTAAAGAAGTTCAAGAAATATAAGAAAGACAGATAAACAACTACATGAAATCAGGAAAACAGTACATGGACAAAATGAGAAGTGTAATAAAGCAACAGAGAACAAACAAACAAACAAACAAAAGAACCAAATAAAATCCTGGAACTGAAGAATCCAATGACTGACCTGAAAAATTCAATAGAGAGCTTCAACAGCAGACTTGATAATGCAGAAGAAAAAAATAAGTGAACTTCAGGAGAGGTCTTTTGAAATTACCCAGCTAGAGGAAGAGAAAGAAAAAAAAATTGAACAATAGTTCAAAAAGCATATGAGATGTATGGGGCAAAATCACATAATGTATGGGGGACAATGAGATAATGTATGCATCATTGGTGTCATAGAAGGAGGGGAGAGACAGAAAGGGGCGGAAAGCTTACTTAAAGAAAGAATGACTGAGATCTACCCAAATCTAGGGAGGGAAATGGACATCTTGATTCATGAAGCCCCAAAGTTCTCAAATAGGTAGAACCCAAAGGGGTCAATGCCAAGTCCCGTGGATCTAAATTCTGAAAATTTAAAGATAAAGAGAGAATTTTGAAAGCAGCAAGAAAAAAGCAATTTGTCACATACAAGGAGGCTCCCAGAAGACCATTGGTAGGTTTCTTAGAAACCCTGCAGGCCAGGAGAGGGTGAGATGATGTATTTAAAATATTGAAAGAAAAAAACCTGCCAACCAAGAACACTTTATCTAGCAAAACTGTCTTTTCATACCATATGATTTCACTCACATGTGAAATTTGGGGAAAAAAACCAAATGAACAAAGGAAGAGAGACAAACAAAAAAGACTCTTAACTATAGAGAACAAATGGGTGGTTGCCAGAGGGCAGGGTGGAATGGGTGAAGGAGATTAAGAGCACACGTACCATGAAGAACACTGAGTAACGTATAGAATTGGTGAATCACTATATTGTACACCTGAAACTAACAAACACTGTATAATTAAAACAAATTAATTATACTGGAATTTTAAAAACTATAAACAAAGGGGCGCCTGGGTGGCTCCATCGGTTGAGTTTCTGACTTCAGCTCAGGTCATGATCACACAGCTCATGAGTTCGAGCCCTGCATCAGGCTCTGTGCAGACAGCTCAGAGTCTGGAACCCGCTTCGGATTCTGTGTCTCCCTCTCTCTCTGCCCCTCCCCCACTCATGCTCTGTCTCTCTCTCTCAAAAATAAACATTAAAAAATTAATTAAAAAACTATAAACAAATAAGATAAAAACAAATAAAACCTGAAAAAAAAAAAAAAGAATGAAAGAGAAAGAAAGACTTTCCTAGACAAAAACTGAGTGAATGTGAGGGTGTCTGGGTGGTTCAGTCAGTTAAGCGTCCGACTCTTCATTTCAGCTCAGGTCATGATCTCACGGTTCATGAGTTTAAGCCCCATGTCAGGCTCTGGAACAGTGTGGAGCCTGCTTTGGATTCTCCTTCTCTCTGCCCCGCTTTGGTTC